CATTAACATCATCTAGCAGACCTTCTGAGGGTACTTCACTTAATCTTGGTAACTGGCTACGGGGGATCCAGGTCTCAAGCTTGGCCAGTTCCTGTCGCACTCAACGATCCTTCTCCTATCACACTTGGGGCTTACTTGCATAGTAGCATTCCAACAACGCCCTGTTTTCGTCTCTTGCCCACTGATGCCTTCTTGTTCCAGTAGCCCACTTCTCGTCAGGGTGCCCTGGTTCCTCAACACCTGACGCAGACCTTGTTGAACCGGGCGACGTCCGAGCTTATCCCAGGGTTAGGGATAATACTGATTCAATTCAATTCAATTCAATTTTATTTATATAGCGCCAAATCACAACATAAGTCGCCTCAAGGCGCTTCATAATACTGATGAAGACTTACACCTGGTAGTAACATAAATTTTGGATAGAAAAGAGAGAGAATTTATTCAAAACATAGACAAAATTGAAAATCTTTGCCCACTGGGGCAACATGAGCCAAACTTCACTTTGAGTGAAGTTTGGCTCATGTGAGAAGAGAGCAGCATTAGTTCCTATTTTTGTTTGGTTCATATGTTTTTTTTGTTCTCTATTGTAACCACATAACCGTATGAGTCGTGCATTTCTTTGGTAGGTTGACTTTGGGTGTTAACTTTCTGTGCTGATAGAATTGCAGAGCATTAATGTTAGTAATATGAGAGTTAAGATTATATCACAGATGTTACAGAGTAAAATGTCCCAGTTGGGAAACTTGCCATGCAGGTAATGCAGCATATGAAACACACTAAATACCCCACTCTGTCAGTATAAATATACAAAAAGGGTCAGACAAACACAGAAAAACGACTCTATTAGTGCCACCTTTGAGGGGGTTAAACAAGCAAACGCCAAGGATGGTAAGGGTCCACAATGGCACTCTGCACCTTTGAGATGGTCCAAATTTCAGATATACTGAAGGTTATCATGGTGGCACCTCTGATCGCATTGCACAGGTCGACTTTTTTTCTAGTTTGTTTTGAAACCAACAAATAAAAAAATGAAAGTTTACAAAAACAAAAAAGGAAGAAAACGTTGCTCTCATGGCTTTTGTGACAGATGCTCTTCAGTGGGGTGGGTAGAAGTCCAATAACAAAACCCAAACCTTGCAAGCATAACAGCTCAAGCATTGTGTCTACAGGTAAAACTATGTTTTGAGATGATTCTTCAAGCAGTTTGGCAGAAAACTATCAACATGCATCAATTCTAAGTCATCACTGATCCTAATAAAAGTAAAACAAGTTTTATCTTATGACAGAGTGCCTTGCTTGTTCTCTATTGTTATTAGAATACCACAAATTATCTGTCAAGACTTCCTGAAACTTGTTTTTATAGAAAATGAAACGGCAGACTCAACAAAGAAAGAAAGAAACAGTCTCATCTGTATGAGTTGATCAAAAGAGACAGAAAGCAGCTCAATGATGTTGTTTATTCTAAAATTAGTTCCAAAACCAAACATCACAGTGTGCAGATAAACCGGTAAACAGTGGAATTAGGACAGCATGATTTAAAAACATTTGCACTACCCAGGCCTTTGTATTTTTAGGACACACTGAGGTCTACAGAGAAGATCAGGAGTCTGTTTGAAAAGTCATAAATACCAAATCAGGAAACCAAAAGTGGCTGAACATAGGATGACCACTGCACCGAGGCTCTGTGGGTTTCAGCCTGCTGCTCACAGCTGCAGGCAGCGTGGGGCATTTGACAAACGTGACACAAATGTACAAATTTACTTAACTGCTTGTTAAGTAAAACGAAAATAAGTTTCAATCAATAAAATAATGTTAAAAGTAAATTAAAAATGGAAATACAGGAAGATAAACTGCAAGAAGAACAGACAATGAAAATCTGTCTAAAAAGATAAATGTATAATTTAATAAGGAGCTGAATAAATAAAAATGGATATACAATAAAATAAAAGTCAACATTTTAAAACAATAGAGGTAAAATAAATACAGGTGAATAAGTTAAATATTGTACATTAAAGTGTCTCAGGTCTTATAGCTGAAGAAATAACTCAATAAATCCAATAAAGCAAGCAGGTCTGAAATTAGTAAAAATAGTTGTCCAGTTGTCTGAGTACATGTGAGGCCCCTAAGGAGCATCATTGTTGGATGGCTCCTCCCTCTGATCTGAAGATCTGAACCTGTAACCTGCCTTCCTCCTTCTCCTGCAGAGTCTGCAGCCATGAGTCGGCGTCGGGTTTCGGTCAAAGACCTGGGAGCGGTGGACTGTCAGGGATGGCTGCACCGGAAGAAGGAGAGCCGTAGCTTCCTGGGAAGCAGATGGAAGAGATACTGGTTTGTCCTGCAGAGGAGCTCTCTGTACTGGTACAGTAACGAGATGGTGAGCCACAGTTATCTCACAGTTAAGCCCTACAGCTCAAACAACGTGCAGTAGAATTCAGGTCTGACATGTGCGATTAGCATCAGAAAATCTGTTCCCGGTTTGCGGAGACTTTGCGAAAACTTGAATGAGCACTGTATTCTTAATCTTGGACTCTATTAGAGCAGGTTTTAACATGGGAGTCTGTGGGGCCTGACTCACTGTTGAAGTGAGCCTTAGAAGAAGTGCTGCCTGTGTGTGACACACATGACATCTTTTAGAAAAATAAATAACTAAATTACGTGGTTTTGAATTTTTTTAAGTTTCTACTTTGATACAAATACATTAATATTCCATATAAATGTGTTTAAAGAGAAACATCTCTTATATGTTAAGAATCATATGTAAATCCCTTTATCTCTGTGAAGCTGTAAATTTAAATAAGCATATAGTCAAACCACACTAAGACACAAAGTAGGTCAAACTGCAACCAAACAGACAGAAAGAGCACAGTCCACAGCGATGTGCATCCTCTGGCTCTGACCACTGACACTTTGCTGAGATCACACAGGAACCTGAGATACAGACACATTGTTTTCTGCAGACTTCACTGCATTAAAGTGTTTCTCATCAGGTTTTCTGAGCTCTTTTTGCTTCTCTCTGCAGGCTGAGAAAGCTGATGGATTCATTAACCTGTCAGGCTTTACCATTGAACAGGCCAAAACCTCCAGGAAGAAATAGTATGACATGTTTTGGTTTTTTTTATTTTCCCCTCTTAAACCACAAGACTTACTCGGCTGTTTGTACACTCTCTGTTGCTAAAGCATCTTAAAAAAATGTCTCAGTGGTGAGAGATCCGCTGCAAGGCATTTGTTTTCCACATCTTCACCAACTGCTTTATATAGTGCATTGAATTTGCCATTACTTTGCTCTGTGTTGTGTTTCAGTGTCATAACAGCCAGTCATCCTAATGTAGTGACTATTACTATTGGTGCTGAGAGCTACATAGAAATGAATAAGTGAGTACTTTTAACCCATTGTTATTATTTTGTCATATGTCATTGAGTTGACTGATACTGCTTCTCTTTATTTCCTGTCATTGACTGCGTACACTTACAGGAATGAATTCTTCTATAAAATATGACTTTTGACAGTTTTTATACACTTGGTGCTGAATGATGTTATAGAGATTTGGATAGAGATGCCCCTCCCATCTACTGTTTAAACCTTACACATGGAGCAGCCAATCAGAGGTTGGCTTAAAGGGGGTCAGTTCAGTCTGGTAATGCATGTGATGCTGGAAATCAGCATCTTAGGCCCACTTTGAGGGTTTATACCAGCAGAAAAATGTCATTATAACTTTTCAAACTGATCCACATAAGGCAGAAACTGTTGAGATTTTGCAGACATGCTTGTCTCAGAATGTCCTCTCCTGACTTTAGTGGCTTAGTCTTATAGAAAAGAGTGAAGCCTAGAATTAGTGACATTTGCACTTCAGCCAGTGGTGGCTGAGAAACTTTGCTCTGAATTAATAAGTATCACTATTCTGTGTCAGAAAGTACAGTCATTTCCTCTTCCCATCCTTTTAATGTCATCTTTCTTTTTATTGATTCATTGCAGTACACCGTGTAGTATGTTGCATGTTGTGTGTCATTTGTAGAGTTTAATGCAGTGTGTGTGTGTGTGTGTGTGTGTGTGTGTGTGTGTGTGTGT